GCAGGAGCTTGTGATGGTTCGCAGTGGTTTATTTTCGCCAGTTGGTGCTGGCACGACGTCGGCAAGGAGCCTGGTTCTTTAGCATCTGGCGTCTGCGTCACTGATCACGTCTTAAATATCTTGCATATTTTGCAGCGCATTCAGCGTCGCACATCAGCTTTTATGTTTGTTTGCGAGAAGCCTCAAGCAACCTGGTTGAACGCTTTGGCAGCTCAGAATCGCTTAGTTTCTGCATTAGGTGATCCGGTTGTAGTCGATGCAGCTAGATTTGGATCTTTCGCGCATTGCATGTCAGTTCACTGGACGAATCTGGCCAGCAGCAGTCAGCTTGCAGCGGTTACGTCCGTAATTTGCCCAGAGTCGGAACATTCACTGCAGAGTATCCTGGCACCCGGCCGCACCGTCGCTATGGCGCAGTCCACGGAGTCGGGGCCCTATCTGCAGTGCAATAAGCCAGGTGAGCCGGTCAGTGTTGCACCTAGCTTGAGTCGTCCAAATGTACGGGCGTTGCAGGGGCTCGTCCATGACTCTCTGTCTGGCAATAACGGCACGTTGTCCTTGTCTGAATGCGAACGTGCTATGGGCTATAAGCTTGGAGCCACTTCTGCACCACCCTATGGCATAAACATGCCGGTTACCGACCGTTTGGGGCCCATTAACCCAACCGGCCGGTTGAATGGCGTTAATGGCCCGGTTGGGTTAACGGTCGGTTGGGTTAACGGTCGGTTGGGTTAACGGCCGGTTGGGTTAACGGCCGGTTGGGTTAACGGCCGGTTGGGTTAACAGCCGGTTGGGTTAATGATCAGTTGGGTTAACGGTCGGTTAATTGGATTAATGGTCAGGTGGGTTAATGGTCAGGTATTCATCCTACCTAGCACCCTGCCTGCATGCCTACACACCTGGGACAGTACTGTTATCACTGCCTCCCACATCATCTTGGCACCATGCCATTAAGCATATTCATATCCCTATGGCATAAACATGCCGGTTACCGACCGTTTGGGGCCCATTAACCCAACCGGCCGGTTGAATGGCGTTAACGGCCCGGTTGGGTTAACGGTCGGTTGGGTTAACGGCCAGTTGGGTTAATGGTCGGTTGGGTTAATGGGCCCCAAACGGTCGGTAACCGGCATGTTCATGCCATAGGGAGTATCCCGGTAGCTCGGGAAGCATCGTTCGCCAATATTAATTCAAGGACTCTAACGCTGCAGGAAAATTTTAGTAGAAGATTTAGAACTATGTATGTATTTAGTTTTAGCGTTTGTTCCCGCCCAATGGCATACTCCAGGCCGGTTCCGGCCCGGTTCCGACCTAACGGGTCCAGTTAACGAGATGGGTAACCGGTCGGTAGGATTACCGAGCGAACCGTTATCCGTTAACCGTCCCCAGTAATCGGTAACCGATGTCGGTAACCTGGCATGAGGAAAAATGCATTTCTGATTGCAACCAGTTTCTTTGTGACAATGCCCATTGTCACAAGGTTCATGCCCACGTGTCACACCCCGACAAGCTTAGGAGGTTAAGGCAATGTGAATGCCGGGTGACAGGGGTGACAGTCTTGTGCAGGCACATTTGGAGACTAGTTTACACTGAGATTGGGGTGATGTTGGATTAGAATACTTGCAGTTCATGAAATTGAGGAAATGTGTTGCATAGGCATATCCAAACGTTTCAGAGGGACGTTGTTTCGCCCGTAACAAGTTTGTTACGGGCGAAACAAACTGGATTTCCACAGTCCCACCACTCAAAGAGCTCCCCACACCATCGCAAATTCCCTTTTTTATTACAGACACATGTAACGAGTTGTCATAGCTTGAGATTGTCGATATATGACTGCTGGATTGTGACCAGGCCATCTCCTTACATGTCTTGCTGCACCAGCATGAGCAGTGATCCCTTCTGTTCAAAATTTTCAGGCAACATCGCAATGAGGCAAAACATTGTGCCGAATCTGCCGTACAAAGAGTGTTCAAAGCTTCACGCTACTAACGGACGAATACATAAGCATTCATTTACCTTGAAAGAATAAAGGAATTCTATAGCTTCATACAAATTCGCCTATCAGCAACTCTCCCTGGTCGTTCAAAAGTTGCTTGACGATTCTACCATCTCCATACTATGAAGGAGCGCTTCTTCATTTCTTCATTTTATCGGAACCTTAACGTATCCTTCCAACACAATGTCCATGGACAACGGTAATGAGGTCGGCGCCTACGAGTTTGACCGGAACGCCCTGGACAACATCGCCCGTCGGCGACAAGATCGCCCACGCAAGAAATACAGCCAGCATCGTCCAGTGGATGCCTTTGGAGTACATAAGTTTGCCAGGGCAAACAATCTAAGTCAATTT